TCGTCCTGCACCTCGGGGGGCCCGCCCCAGCGCTGCAGCGCAGGGTCGTCGACCGCGATGGCTGGAGAGACGGCCCCGAGACTGGTGGCCATGTTGTCGAGGCGCTGCGTTGGCATGGGATTCATGGCGAACGCGTCGCCTGCCAGCGCCGTTTGAAATTCTTTTAGCTTTTGTGGGCAGCGCCCGTCCAGGTGCGGTGCCCTGAGCGCGCGGTGGAGGGTGATCTGTAGCTTGGCCAGCCAGAGCGGAAACCCGAACTTGACGGCAGCCTGGACAAGACGTGGGTGGGGCGCCTGCCCGATCGCTTTCCACAGGTCGATCAGGATGCTGGCTGAGGCCCAGTCCTGATCAGGGTGCAGCTTGGCCATCGTGGCTATCCGCTCGGTTCTGGCATGCTGCCGCCAAACGGCCTTGTCGCACGAGCGTCCCGAACTCGCCCGACAGTAGGGCTTGCCGTTCTCCCTCGCCCACGCCCGCGTGAGAGGGCGCCGCGGCCTGCCGTGAACGCGAACCACGGCGGCCAGCAGCGCGATAGGTCATAGTCCCCCAGCAGTTTTGGGAATGCGGGCCATCTTGGTGATGAAGCTGGGCCAGGCGGCCTGCCCCCCACAGTCTCCACTAGCAAATCATTAAGAGCCCTGGTTCCCATATCACCCAACATATAGAGTTGCCATTTGGGCGAATGCCATCGAAGTCGGGGCCATATTGTGGCTTGAAAGAGGAAGCCACCTGCCGCAGCTCGGCCGCGGTGGGTTGATCGGGGCGATCCCGAGGTCCTTTGGCCAAGGTGGCCGATGCTGCTCAGGTGCCCCGCCGATGGGCCTCGCTGCTGTAGCTGTCCTGGCCGCGTTTGTGCCCGGACAGCTCGCGGCCCTCGGAGGTGCCGCTGAAGTGCCTGGCGATCTCGTCGGCTCAGAGGTCTATCGGCTCGACCTTCAGCCTGCGCAACCAGCAGTGGTGCCAGTCACACTTGTTCTGCTGACCCCGCCAGGTGGTCTCGCAGATCTCCGCAGCCAGGCTGAAGACCGCCGCGTTTGCGTCAGCCTCGCCACTCTTCCGTGCAAGCTCCTGAACCAGAGGTGGCAGCGTCGCGTGGCTGAGGAAATGGGCGGCGAACGGCGCGCAGCGCTGCTTCCAGTCGATATCGTCGCGCAGTCTCTTGGCCTGGCTGTCGGAGGTCGGGTCGACCAATCAGTGCCCTGCCCAGGTGCGCAGCGCTTGGCGTCGGCCTCGCCGGACTTCCAGGGCGCCTTGCCAGCTGAGTCCTCGCCGAGAAACTCGTCCAAGGGATTGTCGTTGGCGTCGAGGAGGGAAACCATTTCCTCGGACCAGATCTGGATGAGAGGAAGCGATCTGCTGGTGCTTGTCTGGCCCCAACAGCTCCAGGGCGACGGGATCGTGGGGGCTCATGTCAAGTCCGTGCAGTGCGCTGGCCTTAGCCTTTCGAAAGAGCCTCGATACCAGGAAGAAGTCGATGGATAGATATCCTGCCCGCGGGCCTGCACGTCGGCTCTGAGGGGGCCGCCGCCGCTGCCTGCGCCGCCTGCAGCCAGCCCGACTCGGCAAGGGTGGCTGGCGCCAGGTTGAAGTCGCCGCAGACCACTAATGGTCGGTCGGCCGCCTGCAGTGCCCTGCGCTCCGCGTGCAAGGTGTCCGCGTTGCGCCTGTTCAGCCCGACGCCGGCTCCCAAATAGAAGTTGACCTACGCAGTGCCGCCTCTTCAGACACCGTTGAAGTGGGTGGCGATGGCTCGGCCTGGCCCCAGGGTTGCTGGTTTGCCGCGCAGCTCGACTGGTCCGAGCCCGCGGTGCTGCGGCGCCATCTGGACGAGTCCTCCGCTGCCCGGGCACCCGCCCAGGTCTGAGTTGATGGCAGGTGTCGCTTCAGAGACCCATCCTTGTCTTCGAAACTCAGGCTGGGCGTCGTGCGTCCGCTGGACGTCGAGGTGCGTCTCGTGGGCGGTGACAGAACCGCAGCTCCTCGCAGCGGCCGTGGCCAGGTGCCAGGAGCTGGGCGAAGCGCGACCGCGAGTTGCAATCCGCTGTGGGGCCAACCCACCGGCGCCCTGCACCAGACCCATCCCCCCTGGGCAGCAGGGGGGAATGGTTGCCTCCGACGGTCTGGGTAGGCAGGCTACCCCTCCGACGCCTTGGCCCGCTTGGCCTGCCTGCGGGGGTCTCGAGCGCCTCCAGGGTGCGCTTCTGCTCGCCCTCGTCCGAGGCGCTGCCGAGGATCCCGCCAGGCTCTTCAGCAGCCTTGAACTCGTCGAAGCCGTCGTCATCGTCTGCGTCGCCCACGGCTGCATCGCCACTGCAAGGCCGCTCCCCCAGCGGCCGCGCCGCCGCCAGTTAGCCCTCCTGCGCCAGGAGGGGGTGCCTCGTGCGCTTGGGCAGCGGCAGGGGGAGGCGGCGCCTTGGCTGCCACCGCCACCTCGTCGAAGAGGGAGGAGAGGCTGGCCGGCACCTCGGCTCCTGTCGTCCCCTCGGTTGCATTGGCTGCGACCTTCTCCTCGACCGCCTGCAGCGTCGCGTCTGCAGTCGCCGAGGAGTGCAGTTTGGCAGCTTGCTTCTTGGCCTTCTCGAGTTCAGTCTCTCACTGGGCGAGGGCTCGATCTGCTCCAGCCAACGCCTCGAGGGTCTTGCGAGAGTGCTCCACAAGCCGCTCCCGCTTTGCCTGGGCGTCGGCCACTGCCAACGAAGCTTGATCAACCGCCAGAGGTAGCTTTCAAGACTCCAGCGGCTGACTCACTGCGTGCTGGCTCGACCCTGCCCCGGCTGCTTCTGGAGAGCTGCTCCTTGACGATATCGTAGGATCCATTGCCATGGCGGCGTAGGCTGCGATCTTGTCGGGCGTGAGGGTGATGGTTGCAGCGCCGCTTCCACCTTTTGGCCCTTGCCCTTTGCCGCGTCGTCCATTGCTTCCGCCCTTGGTTGGTTTCTTCGTCCAAGGTGCTCCTTCGCTGTGCCAGCCACCTTCAAGCGCCCACTTGCCCCTGGGCTTGCGGGTTTCGTCGACGGCGGCAGGCGCGAGGTTGTCCTTCTTCGCGCCCTGGCAGCCAGCCCTGAGACAGAAAGAGAGAGAGAGAGAGAGAGAGAGAGAGAGAAAAAGAGAGAGAGAGAGGGAGACGCGCTGGGGCGTGTAGCCACCGCGCCGCACGCACTGCCAGCACTTCGCCACGAGAGCCAAAGAAGCCCCCCTGGGGAGCAACACCCGCGAAATGGCTGCGCACCCTCGGGCAGAGGGAGACAGTTGGTACTCAGGGGCGGACCTGGCACCGCAAACGCGTGAACACCAAACTCGGGGAACAGAGCTATCCCGTTTGTGCCAGGAGGCTTGCAGCCCCCCAAGCATGGAGTCTTGAGCCAAAATGGCTACGGAGTGCCACGGGGTACCTCGGTGGAGCCTTCTATGGGGCCATGAAGCGCTGTGTTGGGTGGGGTGGGGGGAGGGGGTCGGGTGGGAAGGGGGTGGCTGGGAGGGGGGGTGGGAGGGGCGCGTGCAAACTTGGCCGCTGTGGCCTTCGGTGGAGCCTCCTACGGGGCCACGAAACGCTGTGCTGTGTACTGAGTGCTGCGTGCTTGGTTCTCTGTGCGGTCGTGGTCTCTGAGTGCTCGGGCTGGCTGTCGGGCGCGCGCGCGACTCACTCTTTTCCGACCTGCTACGCCCTGTCGCCGCGCGCAGGGCCGCGACGCCAGACTTTTTTTTGCGTGTGTGTGTGTGTGTGGGTGTGAGTCTGTGTGTTTGTGTATGTGTCTGTGAATGTGCATGTGCATGCCTATGTGTACGTGCATGTTTATGTGTGTGTGTATGTGTACGTTTGTTGCGTTTAGTGGTGTGTGTATTGTGTGTTGTGCGTTGTGTGTCGTGTGCATTGTGTGTGTGTGTGTTGTGTGTGTATATATGTGTTGTGTGTGTGTGTGTTTTGCGTGTGTGTTGTGTGCTGTATGGTGTGTGTGTGTGTTGTGTGTGTTGTGTGTGTGTGTGTGTTTGTGTGTGTGTGTGTGTGTGTGTGTGTGTGTGTGTGCGCGCGCGCGCGCGCGTGTGTGTGTGGTGTGTGTGTGTGTGTGTGTGTGTGTGTGTTGTGTGTGTGTGTGTGTGCGTGTGTGTGTGTGCGTGCGTGCGTGCGTGCGTGCGTGTGTGTGTGTGGGTGGTTGTGGGAGGTGGGGGCGGGAGGTGAGGGGTTGGGGAGGTGGCGTGGGGCTGGTGGTGTGTGTCTTTGTGTGTGTGTGTGTCTTTGTGTGTGTGTGTGTGTGTGTCTTTGTGTGTGTGTGTGTGTGTATGTGGTGTTGTGTGTGTGTGTGTGTTGTGGGTGGTTGGGTGGGTGGGTTGGTGGGTGGGTGGGCGGAGGGCGTGCGGATTTTGCAACTAGTGCCTTCGGTGGAGCTGCTTGTGGGGCCACGAAACGCTTCGCTGGATGGGGCTGGGGCGGGGGTGGGGGGGGGGCATGCGAACTGTGCCACTCCGACCTTGGGTGAAGGGAGCTCCCTATGGGGTCATGAAGCGTGTGAGAGGTGCGCCGAACTTGTGGACGCGCGGAGGGCAGAGGCGAGGATGGCGGGGAGGAGGGGAAGGAGGAGGAGGGAGTGGGGAACGCTGGGGGCTGTCCCGTCACTGCGAGGACCCATCAGCACAGGGTGTTTGGGAACATCATCGACATCACATTCAGAATTCGCCTGGCCGAAGGGCTCACCCCCTGAGTTGTCGAATGGCATGGTGGGGATCCCGTCGTCGCCTCTGCGCCGCCTCGCCCCGTGCGTTGGCTGGCCTCGCCGGTGTTTCGCGCGGTGGGCCCCGACCAGTGGCCCCCCCCGCTCATGGGACCCTGGAGGCTCCCATGTGCTCCCCCAGGAGTCCCCGAGAGCTCCAGCGACGGCCCGATTGCCCACCCTGCAGGTCGTCAGAGGGGCCCCAACCGACCAGGTTCGAGACTTCGGGGGCCCAGGAGGTTCCAGGGCAGGCCGCCAGAATCAGTCAACCACCTCATCCTCACTCGTATGGGATCAAGGAATATTGGCTCAAGCCGTCGCGTTCGGGCCCTCTCGACAGACGTCGATTCTGCGTTCCAGCAGCAGCGGCGCGCGATCTGACAAAGCAGTCCCACCTACCCCCATATACGATCATGGATTACCCCGCTAGGATCCAGCGTATCCAGCACTTCGCTGCCCAGGTGTCCCACCAGAGCGAGGTGACCCTCTTCGTTGACAACGTCGGTCCGGATTGCACGAAGTCCCAGGTGCTGCAGTGGCTTGACTCCCACGGTTTCCAGGACACTTACGACTACCTCTACGTTCCCAAGTGCTTCAACACGCGGAAGTGCACGGGCCAGATGTTCATCAACTTCTTCGTCATGGAGGTGGTTGATCCATTCGTTGAGGCAATCAAGGGAACAAAGTTCGGGGCCGACCGCACCCTGAGGGTGCAGCTGTCGACGACGCAGGGCCTGGAGGCCAACATGTCGAGGCGAGCGACGCAAAGCAACTCACCACCCACCAAACCACCCCGACCCAACCCGAAGGCTCAGATTCACCCTCGATTTGTAGTGTGGGGGGGTCCGGGAACATCGAAAAACACACATATGGAGCCCATACCCCCCCCAACCCGAAATTCGTGTCTTCGGGTTGGGTTGGGGTGGTCTGGTAGGTAGTCAACAACGGGGTCGCCTGCGCCGACACTGGCGCGCAAGCTGCCCGCATAAAGGTCGGGCGCGTAAGCGCCCTCGTCTCCACCTGTGGCGTGCTGCGCCGGCGGCCCGCGGAAGCTGCGGCGTAGGGCGCTATGCAGCAGGAGAAGAAACACACACAGGCACAATGAATCGTCGATTCCCCAGAAACTATGGGAAACTATGGGAAGTGGGGGGGAAGACAGAAGCCCAGAAAATATTGGAAAACAGGGGGAATACTCTTTTTTGTGCCTATCTATTTGTGTGTCCTGGGGCCCCTTCGGATAGGCCATCTCGCCGAAGACCCGTTTCGGCTCGCCGCGCAGAGGTGGGCCCGTGCCCGGTCCCGGCGCATCCGCGACGCGGAGGTCCTGCCCTACGTCCGCTCGCTCGACGTCCTGGGGCTGGCCCACCCCGCGGAGGCGAGGCCGGAGGCCCGTGGAGGCAGAGCAGCGGCACGGGCATTGGACTTTCGGACGTCCGCGCGGACCTTTGCGGCATCGGCGCCGGGCCCCCCCTCCTCCTCCTCCTCCCCCTCCTCCTCCTCCTCCTCCTCCTCCTCCTCCTCCTCCTCCTCCTCCTCCTCCTCCAGACCGGGCCACGTGCATCCTCAGACCCTGCACGCTGGCCCTTGTCGCGAGGCAGTTGCCTCAAGGACGCACCCGGCGGCAAGGCCGGTAGTCCTGCACACTCTCACGTGCCCCTCTCACCCTCCCCGCCCCCCCCCCCGTTCCCATCCCTCCCTCCCTCCCACCTCCTCTTCCTCCTCATTCCCGTCGAGGTCTTTACCTCGAGGGCTTCACTTCGAGGTTTCTATCTCGGGATTTTTACCAACCTCAAGGTGTTTTCCTTGTGGCAACTGTGTTCCAATTGGGACAATCTGGTGAAGCGCGGTCCCATTTTTTCCCCGAGTGCATCTTAGGCCCTCCCCGCGTGCCTGGGCGACAGTGGCGTGGGATCTAATGGCCCCCGCCTGCCGGCCGAGCACGGCTCTCCCCAGGGAGGTGTTGCGACCGACGTCCATTACCAGAGCGGTAATGCTCGGGTATGCAGGTGGCCACATCCAGCTAGCTCCAGCTGGCACCCCGCCTGTTTTGCTTTGGGGGGCCCGCTTCGGCGCCCGCTTGACGGCCCCAGTGCCGTTGCGAGCGCGGCAGCCCTCGACATGGTCAGATTTCGCTATTTCGACAGGCCCGGCAGGGCCATCCTGAGGGAGGTCAACAGCCGATTCTCGGCGCCGCCATTCTGGTCCCAAACCAACGTCGGAGGCTTCGACCTCCAGGACGCAGCTGCCGCACGCTCTGATTCTAGCTGTTGCGCCCGGTGGGCCGGACAAATCGTGCCCCGCCCTTCAGGCATCCTCATTACAATGCTTAGCTGGACAGCTCACCAACGCACTGGCTAGGGGTAGCAAGCCGCCCTGACCTTGTAGCACCCGGTGAGCTTCCACAGGACCTCCCTACATGGCTAGGGAGTCAGCGTCGGACGATATTCTGTGGGATGCCAGCTCATCCTCCGACCAGGCGATGTGAGACGCTTCACGCCTCATCATTTGCATGATAGGCGTCGACGTCACCTGTCGCGAAGCCCCCACAGCCTAACCGCATGCGTCGAACAGGTGGCTGTCTTTGGCATGTCGACCACACGCACCGTCCACCATTACACGGTGCCTTCAACGGTCCCCGCACAGGCTCTGGGACCACAAGGGTTGCCACCCCAACCCTCACGAGCACCGCTTCAGGATGGGAGAGCCCATGTGCCCCATGCGACTGACAGGGTCATGCCTACCCTCAAGGGCATCAGCGCTACGCGATCGCGATCCCTCCTCCCGTGGAACCTGCCCACATGGCGCCACCAGGGTAGCAAGCCGTCTGACGTTATTCTGGGGGAGTCCAGCGTCTGACGTTATTCTGGGGAATCAGCGTCTGACTCTATTCTGGGGGATGCCAGCCCATCCCCTGGCCAGGCGGTGTGACACGCTTCACGCCCTCTCACTGGCATGGTATGGCGGCGATAGGAGCAATCGTGAAGCTCCCCCGCCACACCTAACGGTGCCTCCAACGGTCCCCGCACAGGCTCTGGGACCAGAAGGTTGGCGTCACAACCTTCACGAGCACCGTTTTCAAGGATGGGAGAGCCTGCGTGCTCCACCCGATCTGAAAGGGTTATGCCTACCCTCAAGGGCATTAGCGCTACACTACGATCCTCCTCCTCCTCCTCCTCCTTCTCCTCCGCCTCCTCCTCCTCCTCCTCCTCCTCCTCCTCCTCCTCCTCCTCCTCCTCCCCTCCTCCTCCTCCTCCCTCCTCCTCCTCCTCCTCCTCCTCCTCCTCCTCCTCCTCTCCTCTCCTCCCCCTCCTCCTCCTCCTCCTCCTCCTCCTCCTCCCCCCTCCTCCTCCTCCTCCTCCTCCTCCTCCTCCTCCTCCTCCTCCTCCTCCTCCTCCTCCTCCTCCTCCTCCTCCTCCTCCTCCCCCCCCTCCTCCCCCTCCTCCCCCTCCTCGCTCGGACGTGTGCGCTTTTCCTCGGCGAGGACCCTCGAGGAGCATCCTGGATCCTCTTGCGAAACATGCACTCGCGAAGTCGAACAGTGCACGGGGAATGGACGTCCGAGCGATGGCGAGAACGGCCCAGACACAGAATTTTGGATGATCGCGTGGATGTTTGTGATGCATCGGCGCTGGGCGCACCCCTCCTCTCGGGGGAGGAAGCTGTGCCGATGCCGCTGCCCTTCGCTCTTTACCGCGGCTGGGTGCGCTTCGAAGTCCAGGTCAGAACGCACCACAGGAGAGGACCTAGAGCCTTTGAGAAGGTTCGCTCGCCGCCGAGAGCACGTAGCAGTACAGGTATTGGTATCTAGATGTTCCGCCATCTCGCCTGTGGTGCAGAGCGCGCCGGGGGCGGCGCCAGAGGCGCCGCCAAGGGAGACCTGGCGCCGATCCTAGACTTCCGCGCTGAAGTTCCGACAGTTCGTGTGCTTGTGCAGTTGTTGCTTCCTCGGGAGGCGGCTCTCGCGCCGATGTGCAGCGAGGTTCATGGGCAACGCCAGGGGTGAATGGGCTCAGGGGGATCATCCATTCATCGCCGCTCGGGGCCAGATAGCCCACCCCTCCCACGAACGTGCGCCTTCGCTACCGTGAGGTCCGTGTCGCCGATCAATCGGAGATGCATCGCCGATTCAAGCTCGATGTTTGCCCCTCCCCCCCCCCCCCCTCCCCCTCCTCCTCCCCTCCTCCTCCTCCTCCTCCTCCTCCTCCTCCTCCTCCTCCTCCTCCTCCTCCTCCTCCTCCTCCTCCTCCTCCTCCTCCTCCTCCTCCTCCTCCCCCCCACTTCCCTCCCTCCTTTCCCTCTTCCCCCCCCCCTTCCCCCCACCCCCCCTCCTGAGGTGGTCCACTTCTGGTTTTCGGGTCACACCTCGGGCCTGCGGCGGTCACACCTCGGGCCTGCGGCGGCCGCTCGGGACGCTCTCGGCGAGGCGCAGCCGCTGGAAGGCCCCCCCGCGATGCTGGCAAGCCGCCGAGGACCGACGGCCATCGAACACCCCGGAACTCGAACCTCAGCACCTCGAACCTCGAACCTCGAACCTCACCGTTGGACCCATCGGAGGTCCCCGTGCCGCCCGCGTGGGCCCTCCCGCTCGCAGCGGCCCCGCGGGGCTCCCCGCCGGGCACGTGGCTGGCCGACTCGGCGGCCAGCAGCGCCTCGGGCACGTCCACGGACGCGGGCTCGGGCCCCACCACGGGCGCGGGCGGCCCGGAGTGGGAGTGGGGCGTGCTCCGCTTGTAGACCGGCGGCCCCTTCCGTCGCGGAGGAGAAGCGGCGGGAGCACAGGCTTTCGGCGGCCCGCGCGGACGTCTTGGATTTGCGTTTGGCCCCTCTTGGCTGCGCCCCAGGCGCCGCTCCCGGCGCGCTCCGCGCGTCAGAGAGGGCGGTCCAGCACAGGTCCAAGAAACCATCGCGGACAGTCGACAGTTTGTGTCCATGCAGTTTTTTCTCCGCTTGTTCCTGTAGGGGCACGTAGCCGCACGCGCGGCCTGTATTCAGCTTCCTTCCTTCCTTCCTTCCTTCCTTCCTTCCTTCCTTCCTTCCTTGTTCCTGTTCTGACAGCTCTCTTTTCACTGCCCCGACTCGTCAGGGCTGGGGGTCGTTTGGGGTAGCTCCTGACTCCTGCCTCGGGGGCCCAAGCTGCTGGAGTTGCCCCAGACTGGAGCTATCCCAGATGATTCGGGCGTCCAACCACGCCCGAACCATCGGGGCAAGGATTGGCGAGGGGTGACTCCTGGTTCTTTCGTAGAGGGCCCAGGCTGGAGCTACCCCCGACCGGAGTTATGCCGGCGAAATCGGGCGTCCAATCTCTCGGGTCGAAGGAGGACCAGCTGCACACGCGTAGACTTCCGCCGGTCCGCGCGGGCTTCTTGGCTCGGCGTCGCACCCCGTCCAGGCGGCGCCTCCGACGGGAGCCGCGCCTCTGGCTCGCGCCGCGCCCCGCGCGCCAACGGAGGCGGGGTCCAGCGCCGATCCAAGAAGTCCGCGCGGTCCTCCAGAAGTGTATGTTTGTGCCGTCGCCCTTCTTCTAGACGCCCTTTTGCCTCGTCGGGCGACAGTTGAGCGACGCAGAGAGGCTGGTCGGATTTCACCTGCATCCGCGCGTCAGGTGCCCGCGTCAGCGCCCTCCTTTCCAGTGTAATTAGCGTGCCTCGCTGGTGGCCCGCGTAAGCCACCGCTCAAGGTCGCTATGTCATCATGCGGAAGACCCGTTCCTCCTCGTCGTGCTCCTCCTCCTCCTCCTCCTCCTCCTCCTGCTCCTCCTCCTTCTCCTCCTCCTCCTCCTCCTCCTCCTCCTCCTCCTCCTCCTCCTCCTCCTCCTCCTCCCCCTCCTCCTCCTCCTTTTGCCCCTCCTTTTCCTCCTCCTCGTTGCGTCGCCCAGTCGGGGCGATGTGGCAGGGGAGGGCTACGAGGTCAGCGCAGCCGAGCGCCCTCCTCGGTGCGCGGCCGGCCTCCTGGGAAAACCGGCTGCGTGAGTCGACTGCACGCTGTGCGAGCGCTCCAACACCCACGCACAACGAGTACATCCAGGCGATCGCGAACATCCTCCTCCTCCTCCTCCTCCTCCTCCTCCTCCTCTCAGGCGATCTTGAACATGGATTAAGGGGGCGTAGATTAGCGGCGGGTCCCGTTTCCATGGGGAATCGCGGTTTTCCGCCGCCGAACGAGGCGGCACCAGCCGCATTTTGGGGAGGGCATCTCCCCCGATCCATGCTTGCGCGCCCCCGATGCATGTTCTGAGCGTGCTCTTACCTTTCCCGCGCGCTCCTCCCCCTCCCCCCGCCTCGCCGTGCCCAATGCGGTCACGTGCACCCCACGTCTGCCCCAGAACGCGGCTGGGATTCTCGCCGCTGCGACAAACAAGCGTGAGCAGAGTCGCTAAGCCCCTCCCTTGTCTCGGAGGCAACGGTCAGGACGAATAGCACACTCCAGTCGGGCCTGTCCCTCTACAGGAGGAATATTCAAAAATAGTAAGAAATCAGATGGGGATGATTGTTTGAACATTTTTCAGCATTTTGTGGGCATGCTTTTTTGTTTAAATTTTTTCGCCCAAAATCCCCCCGTAGGGGGACAGGCCCGACCTAACACTACACGCATGACGCATGACTCTCGGCGTCCCTAGATGCATGTACTGTCCCCCCTCCCCCAGCTTTTCTCCTCCGATGTACGATCCCCCTTTGCAGGCCGACCCCCGATCATCTTCTCCTCCTCCTCCTCCCCTTCCTCCTCCTCCTCCTCCTCCTCCTCCTCCTCCTCCTCCTCCTCCTCCTCCTCCTCCTCCTCATTGTCATCCGATTCCTTTCCTCTCGCGTGCCTCCTCCTCCTGCTCCTGCTGTTGCTCATGCTCTTATCCCTCCTCCTCCTCCTCCTCCTTCTCCGCGCTCCTGGAGCCTTCTGCGGCCGCGCGGGGCCGTGGCATGCGGGTTTGCGTCGTCGCTTCACGCCCCAGCCGCTCCAGGCCCCGGCAACTGGCCCTGGGCTTCATGCTCCGGTCAAAGAAGAAAAACACGTCATAGACATATACTTTTGGCGCTCCGCGCGGATGTCTTGGATCTGCGCTGGGCCCCCACCCCCGGCGGCGCCTCCGGCGCCGCCCCCGGCGCGCTCCGCGCGCCAGTGAGGGGGTCTGAGCGCAGACTCAAGACCTCCGCGCGGCCCTCCGACAGTTTTTGGTTCTGCGGGTTTTTCTTCGACTGATGCTGCTTGACCTCGCGACGCCCCACGACGGAACGTCGATCAGAGCAGCAAGATGTCATGACGCTGATACGCTCCGACATTTTCACATGACTTTCAAGGCTTCCTGGACCCCCCGCTGTTCTGCACGGGTTCTAGAAACAGGCTATTTGCCCCGGCATTCCTGGAGAGTATCCTGAGCCATTCGTATCATGGCGTCATTCTCGTCCTGCTCGCTTCACCTGCTGCTGGGCCTCCCAGATGGGGTCCCGGCGCGATCCTCCGAAATCATCTGTTGGGGACGCAGTAACTCGGTTCAATCCAAGCCTGGGTCAGTCGGGCTTTGCAGGATGCTGCACGATCCTGCAGGATGTTGCACGCAAGCCCGGGTCAGTGCACCTCCTGGATCCTGCAAGATCTGGCGCCCTGGCTGACCCCCGTTTGCATATTGACCCCCGCCTCATGAGCCCCGAATCTGCTCGAACTCCATCTGAGCGACGCAGAAAAAACATGGTCGACTGCGTCGACATCATTCACGCGTAAGCTGCCCGCGTAAGCAATGTAGCGTGCCACGCTCGCGGCCCGCGTAGGCTGCGGCGTATCGTGGTTGCGCCGTATCGCCCCGTCTTCTATCGTCGCTCCTCTGCTCGGGCCCCGCCTGGGAAGCCTTGCCGTGGCACGGCTCGGACATTCGGCCCCTCTCGCGGCGGAGACCATCGAGGAACATCTTGCCTCATCTGGTGAAGAACATCGGGCCGAACGAGACGAAAGGGGGGGATTGAGAAAGGGGGCGTTACGACATTTGCTGCATGCAGCTGGTTCCGGCCCCGCCGAGGGGCCCATTCCTCGACACATGGCCGCCTCCGGCGCCGGGAGGCGCCGGGAAAATCAGCGACGTGCTGATTCTCCCCTCAGCGAAATCGCCCGACCCGGTATTTGGCGGCGAGCCCAGGGTGGAAGTGCGAGGGGGCAGGCCCTGGTCAGGAGGCTCGGAAGCCCCCCAGCTTCGTGAGGCGTGCCTCGGGAGCGCGCGGGGGCCTCCGAGAGGTCCCCGCCGCCCTCCGAGAATCCGCGGGCGAAGGACGGTATAAGATAAACTGTCGCCCGACCCGAGAAGACGCGCACGAGGTCCAGAGAAGGCGCCCGGGAGGGGGCGTCGGAGGGGTGGCGAGCTGCGCGCGCGCGCGCGGCGGGCGCCCGCGCGGCAGAGCGAGGGCGGCGGGGCGGGGAGAGCGGCAGAGCTCACGCGCCGCTCCCGCCCCCGCTCGCCTCCTCAATGCACAGTCGGGGCCCTGAAGAAGGAGCCCTTTTCGTTGGGGAGGGCGGATGTCTCGGACTGGCGCTCGGGTCCCCCTGGGGGCCCGCGCTGATCCACGGGAAGCGCGCGGAGCTCCGAGGGTCTTTGCTCATGCAGTCCTCTCTTAGCCAAGAGGCCTACAGTCGGGGCCCTCGAGAAGGAACCCTTTTCGTTGGGGAGGGGCTCCGCGTGCCTGAAGCGTTGCACGGCTTGCCTCAGGTTGTCCCTGTGTTTTCGGTGGGAGATCGAAGGTTAGCTTGTGGAAAAAATGGGGCCTCGTTCCTTAGTTAGGGTTCCTTAGGTCAACGCCCCGACTGTAGTTCCTTCGCTGCAGTCACCCCTCCTGAGCGCCCCCCTACTGGGCGGGGGTCGCTCGTGGGCCCTGTGCTCGAGCAGTGGCGAAAAGCCCAGACTCGTCTAATGGGCCCAGCAAGACATGTTCGAAGAGCCTTCTGTGGTTGGCGCGATCTGTTCTCGGAGCCGTTTTGGCTGGGACCGTCCTGGTTGAATCCACAGGGTGTTTGTTCTGAGAACCCTGTTTTGGGTCTCGGAACATTTTTTGGGTTCTTCGAACATCTCGTGGTAGGCCTGTACGAATGCCGGGACGGTCGGTCCTTGTTCAGTTCTCTGGCCTGCAAGAGCAGCCTGCTTCTCCTTCTCACCCCCTCCTCCTCCTCCTTCTCCTCTCCCTCCTCCTCCTTCTCCTCCTCTTCCCCCTCCCCCTCCCTACTCCTCCCTCAAGCCATTTCGGCCCAGGTATTTTATTTGGGCTGACTCTCGTACCTCGTACCTGCTCGTGGTGCTTGGGGCACTCCGAGTCCGCGCCTCTCTGGGCTAGCGTACTCGGTCGACGAAAGCGAGAGTTTCCTTTCTTCACGCCATGGCTCCCTCGTCGCGTGTGGGGAGCCGCTGTCTCAACTGCCAACGGTGTGAATGGAACGATATCCTGCAGAGGGCCGGAATGTCATGTCCAGGATGTGGCAAGCAGGTGAAGATTTTCAAGGCGAAGTCTCCCAGAGGCAGTACCAAGATGGTCACTTTTGCCGAGACGGAGGACGGGTCTATCGTCGTGGAGGAGGAGGAGAGCAGGAGCGGCAGCCGCAGTCGTGGGCTGTCGCCGAAGCCTCCGCGGGTCTCATCGGATGGCGTCGTGGACCACCTGGTGGAGGCCATCCGGCACGCAGGATCCGGAGCTGAAGACCTTCTTGAAGGAGAAGGTTGAGGAGCTCGCCACCGCAGCCCAGCTGCAGCCGAAGCAGCAGACGGCGGCGCCGGGAATGCAGCGGGCTGATGCTAAAACAGAGCTAGGATCGGGATAAATCGCTCCAGAGCGTTCGGGAGCGCTCTCAGAGCGTTCCGGAACGCTCTGGAGCGGCCGCGGCGCCCAATACATCCTCCAAACCCGCCGATTCTCAGAGATTTCGAGTTATCCCGATCCGATTTTGTCCCGATCTTCGTGTCGTTTTAGATGCTGCGCATCGCGACGCGAGCCACAAGCGTGACCAAGCGGTTGCCAACGTGAATCGGCTGAGGGACGCGCTCGCGGCCGCGGAGGAGAAGGAGAAGGCTGCGGCGTGGGTGCTCGCGTCGGCGGAGCTGGCCACGCGTGGCGCGGTCCAGAGTCTGGCTCGGGTCGAGGGCCTCACCGCCCAGGTCGAGGGCCAGCAGGGGCTCAAGCAAGAGGTTCCCTTCGGGGTGCGTTGGGATGAGCAGCTGTTTGGGGACATGGACGACCCTGAGTTTGAGGCTGACGAGAAGGAGGACCGGAAGCGCATCCACGAGCAGCCTCAGAGTTTTAAGGCGGTCTCCACCGAGAAGTCGGATGAGGTCCAAGAGTGGTCGTCGAAGGCGGGCGAGGTGCGCGCTGACGTCGACAATCGGATGGTCTTGAAGCGGCGCCAGACGGAGGCAGGCGAGGGAACCACAGCTGAGGTTTCACCCGCCTGCTGAAGGAGGCGCTGATGCGGGTCAGGGAGCTGGTGCGGACGCGGGGGCTGCTGCTGCGGCCAAGGCGGAACACGACGAGAAGGTCTTGGAGGAGGCGGCCGAGATTTCGGATAACAGGTTTGCGAAGGCCGAGGCGGCGTCCAAGGTGAAGGGCGCTGCGGGCAAGGGTGTCGGGATGGCCGTGGCTTGACGGTCACCGCCTGGCGGTGGGATCGGTCGAGGTGCCCGCCGCCAGGCGTGCGAGGAGTTCTCGGGGCAGGAGGAGCACGGTATTCATGATATCCAGACCACCTCCATTTTTTGTAAGTCGTGTCACCGCCTTGGGGGATAGGCGTGAACATCTCTTACCCAGCATCGTTTGTTCACGAGAACATGGGGTGCGTCGAGACTCATGTTCCAGAGTCGAACTTGCGCAAGGGGGATCGAGCTGCCCGTGACAAGGGTTCACCTATGATTGCGAGTCCAGCCGTACCATCTGGCAGCCAGCGCTCGTCGGCCACCGAGGTGAAGGCCGACGAGGGCGGCGGTCGTTTTCGCCAAGAAGCACTTGCAGGTGGAGAGTCTGACGGAGGCCAAGGTCAATGCATTGAGAGCTCCAGGCGGCTCAGCGCTCGGTGGGTTCTCTGCAGCAGTTCTTCACCTGGCAGGCTTCTCTCTCGCATTCATCATCTTCTACGGGGTTGCGTCCATCGGCGTGCGCGGTCGCAACCTCTCCCGCTTCCAGCGGCTGGGGGTCCCGCTGGTAGCCTTGCAGCTCCCGTGGCTGGTGGTTGGGGACTGGAACGTCAACGCGCAGGTGCTCGACTCGTCTGGCTTCCCCACTCGGGCCCAGGGTCGCATGCTGCAGGCCCAGCGGCTTGCGCCTGCGACATGGGCGAGGGTGCGCTGATCGACTGCGCGGTCATGAGCGAGTCCGCGGTCTCCGTCGCTGCTGGCTGCCAGGCAGTGCTTGACGTGTCGCGGCGGCCCCGCATCGGATTGGTTATCTCATTCTCATTCAAAAGCAGTGGTAAGCAGTTGGCCACGCGCAGCCTGGCCGCCCCAGGTCGGCTTCCGCAGTTTCGGCTCCCGCGGGTTCTACCGCAGGAGGGCTCCGAGACCTCCGTGGCCAAGAAGGCCAAGGCTGTAAAGGTTGCCTTGGCGCAGGAGCGTAGGTCGGATTTAATCCCATGAGTTGTCTGCTGAACATCTTGCGTCGCGTGCTGATGGGGGCTGTGCAGATGTTCCGCCAGATGATGAGAAAGAGCGTTCTCTACCTACCGCTGCTGGCGGAAAACGGGGGGGGGGTCGCTGCCGGTTCGCCGCCGCCCCCCAGTCCATCGAGAAAAAGGGGGGGGTGGGGGGTCGCTGCTGGTTCGAGCCCCCCCCCCCCCCCGCCCCCCTCCCCCCTCTCCCCTCCCTGCCCCCCCCCCCCCCGTCTCCCATCCCCTCCCCCCTCCGCCCCCTCGCCGCCGGCGAGCGATTCCCGCTCCTCGGGACAGTTGGACAACGACGGAGATGCTGGGGCAGTGGTGGGAACGGTGGTGGCGGGGACTGGTTCGGGGACAGTGGGGCAGTGGTGCGGACAGTGGTGGGGGCGGTGGTGGTGGGGGCAGTGGTGAGGGGGCAGCGGGACAGTGGTGGGGGCAGTGGGACAGTGGTGGGGGTGGTAGTGGTGGGGACAGTGGTCAAGGCGGTGGTGAGGACAGTGGTGGGGCAGTAGTACAGTGGGGAAAATGGTTGGGACAATGGGGGCAGTGGGACAGCGTTGGGGGCAGTGGGAGCGGTGGGGCAGCACGCTGGGGCAGCGGCGGGGACAGTGGGACAGTGGTGGGTATAGTAGTGGAGACAGTGGGACAGTGGTGGGGGCCGCGGGGGAAGTGGGGAGAGTGGGGCCGTGGTGGGACAATGGTGGGGAGAGTGGGGGCAGTGAGACACGGGTGGGGGGCGCTGGTGGGGGCAGCGGGGACAAATGGTGGGAACAGTGGGGGCAGCGGGGCAGTGGTGGGGACGGTGGTGGTGGGGGCAGTGGTGTGGGGACAGAGGGAATGTGGTGGAAACAGTGGGACAGTGGACGGCGCAGTGGCGGCGGGGGCAGTGGTGAGGGCGGGGGCGAGGCCGGCGGTGGGACAATGTGACAGAGGCACACTGGGGAAAGTGGTGGGGGCAGTGGGGCCGTGGTGGGAACAGTGGGGCAGCTCAATGGGACAGCTCAGTGGGGCAGCGGCGGGAACAGTGGGACAGTGGGGCAGTGGGGGCAGTGGGGCGGTGGTTTTGGGCCGTGGAGAAAGTGGGGAAAGTGGAGCCATGGTGTGAACAGTGGCGGGGGCGGTGGGGGCAGTGCGACAGTGGCGGGGGCGCTGGTGGGGGCAGTGGGTGCGGTGGTGGGAACAGCGGGGACAGTGGGATGCGGGCGGTGGTGGGGGCCCGGGAGTCGTTTGCCGGCGGTGGGCCTGTGGGGGGGGGGGAGGGGTTCAAACCGGTAGTGGCCCCCCCCGGTTTTCTGGGGGGGGGGGGTGGGTCGAACCGGCAGTGGCCCCCCTTCGGTTTTTTTGTTGGGGGGGGGGGTTCGAGCCGGCAGTGGCCCCCCTCCGGTTTTCCGGGCGGGGTGGGGTGGGGGGGCGGGGCTCGCGCCGGACTAGTGGCCACTTCTTTTTTCCGGAGAGGTGTGGGGGGGCGGGTGAAGGTTAGGGGGGGGGTGCCGGGGGGAAGGGGTGTGGGGGGGTGGGGCTCCAGCGGGGGGGGGATTTTCGGAGGGGGTGGGACGGGCTCCCGGGGAAGAGGGGGGGGACTTTTCCACGGTGAAGCGGCGGTGGGTCACGCTCTCTCGATGGTGAGGAACTTGTCGATTGCCCATTTGATGGCGGATGGCCTGAGGGGGAGGAAAGCCATTGGGGCTTCGAGTCTTGTTTCTGTGCGCCCACTTGTTCCGCGCCGAGTGGGGTCGTTGTTGCCGGCCAGCGTGGGTCGGTAAATGATGCTTCTGCCCAGTCATCGTCATCGAAAGCTTCGGAGTCAGATCGCCCGTCTGATCCTGCGAGTAGCCCGTCCGCGTGTCGAGCGACCCCCCCCGCGCGCGGCGCGCCCTTTGCAGCGAGTGTGCGCCCCCCCCAGGCTGTGGGGCCCGCCCTGCAAGACCCGTCCCATCAGGTTACACCCGAGTTTCAGATTTCTGAAGAGCTCTGGGGGCTGAATCGAGGTGGTGTCGCGATGCGCGAGTGTCCTGTTTCGGTCATGTATCAGTCCTTGTGTTCGTCTGTCGCATTTTGATCCAATCTCGAGACAGTCGCACTTGTCAGTTCATGGTATCCAGCTCGGTCGCGTGGGGGTGGGCGTGCGATCTGTGCCCGCCGCTCCGCGTCGCTGCCAGCTGGCCCCAGTCGGGTGGGGGTGGGGTGGGGCGGGGTGGGTGGGGGGGAGGGGGGGGGGGGGCTGCATGATAATTGTCGAGGAGGTGCACGAGTCGACTCGAGGTCGCACGGCGCCGCTGCGAGATCAGGTGGCGTGCTGGTGGAATGGGGGGCGGCCGCGCTGCATGCCCAGGCTGGGCGACATCTTGCCCGAGCCAATGGAGTGCAGGAGCTCGAGGCCATCCAGCGGCGCGAAGGCGTTTGGTCTACGAGCGGCCAGCCGGCGTGCATGTATTGTTGAGGTTTAGGAAGGATGCTAGCTCAGGAAGTGGGGCACCGTGCTTCTCGACTTGAAGTAGCTGGCCTTGCCTGTGCTGCAGTCGTTCCAAGAGCGGGCTGCCAGGCTTGCTCGCCGTGGCCAGAGGCGTGCTGTTCATGAGTCCCTGTCGGAGATCCAGGAGTGGGTTTCGCGGCAGGCCGCGGTGGGGGTCCTCTGCGGGGGCGCGCGCGAGGGGCCCCTGCCACCGCTCGAGGCTCGCGGAGGTGAGCTGGCCGTCGTGCGCCCGAGGGGCATCATTGACAGCGCGTGTAAGCATTGGCAGAATATGTGGAATCTTCGCTGTGTGGGCGATGACAAGGCGGCTCGTGCCATCGCGGCCGCGCGCGAGGCGGCGCGGGCTGATCCGTTGGACCCCGTCACGGCTGACGAGGTGCGGTCGGCGGCCTACGCGATGAAGGCCGCCGCAGGCGTGGGCGTCGATTGGATGGCGCCGGTCGACGTGGAGCGCCGGTCAACTCGGCGCAGGAGCTCGCCGACTTGCTCGACCTCGTCGAGCACGCGCTGGCCAGGCCGTCTCAGACAGCTGATGGTCGGTGAGCTCCGGCCGAAGAAGCTGGGCGGAGATCGCGCGACGGGCCTGGCTTCGTTCTTGGGCCGTTTTGGGTCGCTCACTTGTAACGTATATGTTCGTGATTGGTGCTCGCTCGTTGAGGATGAGTGGTGTGCTGCTGTTTGTGGGAGGGCTTCCATTCGGGAGGCGTTCCATCGTGCGTTGCAGGAAGGAGTGTCTGGAGTGCTCGGTGCCCCCTTCGGGCGCGGGCTCATGGACGTGGGGGGGTTCTGCGGCGGCATGGAGTGGGGCATCCTAGCGGGCGTCTCGCCTCGGCTGGGATTCCCGCCCATTATCATGTTTGTTGAGCCGCCCCAGTGCGCTGCGCCCCGTGTCCTGGAGCAACGAGGGGCGGTGGGCCAGCCGTTCCTTGCAGCGCGTGGCGTCAACCAGTGGCTTCGCTCAGGCACCGGGTTTCCCGAATGTGTGGCGCTTTTTGCGATGGATTTGATATGTCGGGAACATTAGCATATTTCCAATCGCATGTGGATTGGTGTTTTGTCTTAGAGCACGGCTGGTTCTAGAGCTGCAGTTCGCGATCGTCTCACCGAGTGTCTCGCAGATGCGATTGAGAAGCTGGGCGCGGTCAAGCTCCAGCTTGCCGCCGCATTTTGCGTCATGCTCTCATCGTGGTGATGCGAAGGAGGTTTCTTCTTGGATTGAGGAAGAAACGCCATGTACTTCGGGCTCAGCTGCATGCTAGTTTTTCTGGGCGTTGACCAGGGCGGCGGCCGTCGCGCTGCCCGCGAGGTCCGCGCGATGAGAGGAGTTATGCAAGGGCGGCTTCGCGCGCGCGTGGCCCAATTTGCTCGAGCGTCGAAGCGGTGTCATGTCGCGGTGGGGCTTGAGAAGATGGGGTCTCAGGCAGTTGGCAAATTTGATCAAGGTATTTTTGGGGCGTTCAGCAGGCGTTTGCAGCGGTGTCGCGGGAATCGCGCTTCCGAGTGCAGCTCAGATGGCAAGGGTGCGCGCGTGCCACCGCGTTGCTGTCCATTCGTGATGGGCCTGTGAGATATTGAGTCTTTGGTTGTATCAGTAGACCACCCAGCCTCATATTCGGCCGGCAGTGTATGGTGCATGGCCCGCGTTGGTCAGAAGCTCGCTGAGCATGCCGTCGGCGCGTCGGTCGCGGTGGGCACGAGGACTAATGCTACTTGCTAGAGACTGGTCGCTACGATTGTTACTTTGCTGGAGACAGGCTGGGGCCCTGAGTCCCCGGCTTGTTGCAATTCCGCAGGTGATCTATCCTGGCAGGTTCCCGAGGAACAGTATTCATCAGAGCTTGCTCCCGACATCTTTCACTGCGTAGAATGTGCTCATAGATAGATATATCTGGTTCCGGTAGCCCTGTTGCCCAATACCCCTTTTGCCATATAGCCTTATAGCCCTATGACCCTATTGCCCCATAGCCCTATAGCCCTATTGCCTTTTTGCCCTGTAGCCCTTTAGCCCTCTCGCCTTTTTGCCCCATTGCCTTATAGCCCTATAGCCCTATAGCCCTATAGCCCAGTCGCCTTTTAGTCCAGTAGCCCTACAGCCCTATAACCCGATAGCCCTGTAGCCTTATAGTCTCAAAGCCTTACAGCCCTAAGGCACTGTAGCCCTCCAGCCCTATAGCTCTATATGCCTATAGCTCTATTTCCCTATAGCCCTATCGCCTCATAGCCCAATTATCATTTAGCCCCATAGCCTTATAGACCTATAGCCGTATGGCCCGATATCCCTGTAGCCCCATAGCACCATGGCCCCATAGCCCTATGGCCCGATCGCCCTATAGCCCTATTGCCCAATGGCCCTATAGCCCTAGTGTCATATAGACCATTAGCCCTGTGGCAGCCCTATGGCCCTGAGAAGATTATCATCGTTTTTGTCGGCAGCCCTATGCCCTGTGGCAGCCCTGCGCCCTGTGGCAGCCCTATGGCCAGTCTCATGTTGGCAGAGAGCAGCTCGGCATTGCTATGGTTCGGGGCATGCTCAAGGTGGCGATCATTGTGCATTGAGACTTCTGCTTCGTTATCTTAGTGGCCTTTTCCGTGGAAGAAAGTTGGGGGAGCTGCTGGTGTCTATACTTGCAGTTTGTGCGGTCGCGGGCGCGGGGGGCCGCGGCGGCTGCGAGGGCCCAGGTCAGCCCATGGTGCCTGCGATGCAAAGATTCTCGTGAAGATGCTCGCCATCGTAATTGGTGATGCAGTCGCAAGTGGGGGACGAGGCCTACCGCAATTCAGAGGCCCTGCTTCAGAATGCTGCCGAGCAGCATCAGGTTGACGAGGCTTGCTGGCTCAGGGGCGTCATGCCCAAGAGCGGGGTCAGTCTGCCGCAGCCGCCTCCTTCAGGAGGACTAGTAGCTCCCAGGCGCGTCCGCGAATGAAATCGAGGCCGGCAGCTCTGGGCCTCGAGCGGCCCCGAGCCCCAGTCGTGATGTTCGGCGATGCTAGCGGAGGTCCCGACTCGCGGGGTCCCCGCTTTCGTCGAGTGGGTTGCGGGTTGGTGAGGGTGCAGCCCGAAACCAACCTTGATGTGTTGGCAGCGCTGCGTGGCCCTGTGCCTGGAGGTGCCCAATCAGTGCCGCGATGGGGAGCTGTGCGTGCTTCTCATGGCTCCAGGATTACCAGTGATGCAGTGTATGTGTGCGGCAACCAGATGGTGTACGGTACGATGGGTAGTATGCGCGCACATGTCGCCAACCGCAAGGGGGGCTGGCCGATCTCGGGGCACCTGTGGGTGCCGAGTTCCTGGGCCGTGAGCCTACCCACTTCTGCCGCGCCGTTCGTGAAATCGCGCCTGTCAGAGGCGGAGGCTGGGGCCAGCGGCGCACCGGCGTGGCTGGTGAGCGGAAACAGCTCAGCCGACAAGCTGGCGGGTGGGGCAGCGTTGGCAGCCAGACTGCCGCAGGTGGCGCGGGCCAGGGTCATGAAGGTGGAGCACGCGGCATTCCTCGTGCGCGTGCGCCTCCGCAGGGCATCGCCGGACGCACGGGCTGCCGTGGAGAAGGAGATGAAGGAGAAGGAGGCGGGCCGCCGAGGGCGCAGGGGAGCGGCGGGAGTCGTGAGCGAGAGTGAGGGATGTAGGGTTTCTCCTCCCCCCTTCCTCCTCCTCCTCCTCCTTCTCCTCCTCCTCCTCCTTCCCCATCCGTGCCCTGAGGCCTTGTCTCCTATCGATAGTCAACATGCCCTTGATGATGCGGGGCGGCGGTGTAAGGGGGACCTCGTCGATCTCGGAGCTGGGCAAGCGGTCGGTTCTCTGTGTTTCAGGCTTGTGGCCTTAGGCGGGCTCCTTCGGGTACTTCCACGGGGGGGGAGTTGCATTTCGAGGGGGGGGGTACGTCCATGCCACTCATAAGAGGAGGTACAACCAAGATATCGGTGTCAGGTTTTGTGCGTCTTGTGGAATGTTCGAGGATTCGCAGCTCTTGGGGTTGGGGAAGGAGTGCGTGGCGAAGGCCACTTCGACCCGAGTTGTCTACTTCGACAGACTTCAGAGAGATGTGTGGCCTAAGGTATATAGTTCCGCTGGAAAAAGGCCAGGCAAGCCCAGAAGGGGCTCCCGTGTTAAGGTTGTGTTCTGGACATTGCCCTGTGAGTCGTACTCTTATTTTTACTCTTACCCATCCCTCCTCCTCCTCCTCTGGTCCTCCTCCTCCTCCTCCTCCTCCTCCTCCTCCTCTTCGCTCTGTCGGGGTCCCCAGTGCACCCTCGACCGCTGTGCTTCTCGAGCGCTTGGCTTCTGCACACTTGCCATCTATTGTGTAAGGGTGGCTGTGCTTCCCAGCTTGCATTTTCGCGTGAAATATCTGAATGTCTGAATATCTGGAATTGGTGGGTGAGAAGGAGCGGGGGAACATGACGAGGAAAACGCCGAGGAAGAAGAGGAGGAAGAGGGGGAGGAGGAGGAGGAGGAGGAGGAGAAAGGGGACCAGTGTAAACCCATCCCTCCCAACTCCTTTTTCATAGGCCCCAATAGACGGTTCATGTTTACTGAGGGAACTACCTCGTTGGAAGACAGCCGTTTGAAGATCCTGAATCATGCCAACACATTACGCTCGGGATTCCAACGCCACGGATCAACCTGATTGTTGCGCTTTGACCATCCTGAACATTGTCAGAACGCCAGTCCTGGGATCAACACCGCGAATCAACGTAAGTGTTGCGCCCTCATAATCCTAAATATCTCAAGAACAATTTCTGGTACGTTGATCATGGGAATCCGTGAAATTCCCACAAAATCCAACATCGAATGTGCGCGGCGCTAAGGCGAGAGTTACACGTTGAAAAGGAGCCGCCCTCAATCCGTGAAGACCTTGCAATTTTGAAAAGCGAATGTGCGCGGCGCGAAAGCGAGAGCCACATGTTGAAAACCACCCGCCCCCAATCCGAAAAACTCTTGCACATGTTCGAAACTTGTGCGCGCGCCGCTAAGGCGAGAACCACATTTTGAAATCCATCCGCCCTCAATCCGTGAAACTCTTGCACACTTTTGAAACGCACGAACGCGATGCTCAGGCGAGAGCCACATTTTGAAAACAACCCGCCCTCCATCTGTGGAGCCATGGCCACTTTTTGAGCTTAAGGGTCATATGTTGTACGGAAGTCTCAGGCGAAACGCCCGGCCCGCCTTCAAACTAGGCCTCGGTGTGCGACAGGGAGGAAGTGCTTACTTGAGGAGGAGCAAGTGGAGGGGAGGAGGAGTAGTAGGAGGAGGAGTAGGAGGAGGAGTAGGAGGAGGAGGAGGAGGAGGAAGAGGAGGAGGAGGAGGAGGAGGAGGAGGAAAAGGAGGAGTGTGCATCTGGGGGCTTTCTTGGGGCCTTCTGGGAGCTTCCTGGGGGCCTCTTGGAGGCATTTTTGGAGGCCTCCTTGGGCCTCTTGGGGGCCTCTGGGGTCTTCTCGGGGGCCTCTTTGGCAGTCTTAGGGTATTCGTGGCCCGTCTGACGCCGTCGGCAGCTGTCTGAACGGCCTCTCTGGACCGACTTGGTGCCTTTTTGGGGTGCTCCAGGGCCGTCTTAGAGACCATCTTGGGCATTTTGGATGCCTCTTGGGCCGTCCTGGGGCCCTCTTGGGGCCGTCTTGGGGGCCTTTTGGGCCGTTCTGGGGCCATCTTGGAGGCCTCTTGGGCGATCTTGGGGGGATCTTTGGGGGCTCTTGGGCCGTCTTGGGTCGTCGGAAGGCCGACAAGAAGCATATGCCAAAGTCCTTCAAACACCCGGGTCAACTCAATGATGGTTGCCCCTTCGGGCCTTCCTGGAGGCCCTCTTGGGGGCCTCATGGGCCGTCTTTGAGATTCTTGGGGGCCTCTTGGGCAGTCTTGTGCCATCTTAGAGCCATCTTTGGCCGTATGGGTGGCCTCCTGGCCCGTCTGACGCCGTCGGAAGCCGTCTTGGGGGCCTCTCTGGGCCGACTTGGTGCCCTCTTGGGGTGCTCCAGGGCCGTCTTGGAGGCCATCTTGGGCGTCTTGGAGGCCCCTCGGGCCGTCTTGAGGCCGTCTTGGGGCCGTCTTGGGGGCCGTCTTGCGCCGTTCTGGGCCTATCTTGGAGGCCTCTTGGGCGATTTAGGGGCGATCGTTGGGATCTCTTGGGCCGTCTCGGGCCGTCGGATGACCGAAAAGAAGCATGTGCCAACATCCTTCAACAACCTTTCTGGAATAACAATGGTTGTGGCCTCTTCGGGCTTTCCTGGAGGCCCTCTTGGGGGCCTCATGGGCCGTGTTGGAGACGTCTTGGGGGCCTTGGGCTGTCTGCCGTCATCTTGAGGCCATCTTGGGCCGTCTGGGAGTCGTCTTGGGCGGACTCGGAGGCATCTTGGACCTTCTCGGGCCGTCTTGGAGGCCATGTTTGACCATCCTGGGCGAGCTCGGCAGCCATCTTGAGCCATCTGAGCCGTCTCTTGGAGGCCGTCCTGCAGGCGATCGGGATCTCTGTGAGCGAATTCTGCAGGCTGGCGGGATGGGCGGGAGCCCCAGGGGAGAGGCCTCTTTGAGAAAGGGCCAGAACCAAACCGTGAGAAGTTCAGCACGCTACTCCAGATTTCGTAATAAAAGGGAGGGGGTCTGGACCCTCCAAGACAAGCCATTTCAGACCTCCCCCGTGGGAGAACCCTCCAAAACATCGTCCCCAGACCCCCCAGGCCCTCCAGGATAGCCTGGAAGAGACCCCCCCCGAAATGAGACCCCCCTCCCTTTATTACGAACTCTGGAGTAGGCACTCCTGTGGCAAGACCACAGGGGGCGGCGGATCTGGTGGCATGCGCCCGATCCCGCCACCGCGCCCAGGCTCTGGGCCCGAGGCCTCTGGGATGCCTGGTGGGGACCTCTCGGGAGGCCTGTCGGAAGGCTCTTGAAGGCGGCTTTGGGGGTGTCCTGGGGCCCGTCGTGGCCTCTTTGGGGCTTCCCTCGGCGGCGAGCGAGGGGTGGAAGCGAGAAGAGGGCGCCCTTCTCAGAGGGCGGCGGGGCTGCTCAGAAGCCCTCGCGCCCTCTGAGAAGTTCTCTGCGCCTTCGGGGAAGGCTCAGAGCACCTCTCAGAAATCACCACCCACCAAACCACCCCAACCCAACCCGAAGGCTCAGATTTACCCTCGATTTCCAGTGGGGGGGGGATCGGGAAACATCGAAACAACACGCGTGGAACCCTTACCCCCACCAACCCGAAATTCGGGTCTTCGGGTCGGGTTGGGGTGGTCTGGTAGGTCGTCAAGAAAGGCCCTAGAACTTCCGAGCCTTCTGAGAGGGCCCGCTCCTTCTCACTTCCCCCTCGGCTCGCCGCCGATCCTGAGCGCCCCCGCCCCTGGTGGGCGGGGGTCGCTCGTGGGCCCTCGGCACCGCTCCTCTCTGGCTTCCTCGGCTTTCTCCTTGGCATCGCTCGGACGTGTGCAGTTTTCTTTCGGCGAGGGCCATCGAGGAGCATCCTTGATCATTTGGCGAACAAAAACCACGCACGAAACATAACAAAAACACAGGGAATGGACGTCCGAGCGATGGCCAGTCTCTTGGAAGGCTGAGAAAACCCATGCGAAGGCCTGAGAATCTCCGAGACTTCTGAGAAGGTCAGAGCCCCGAATCATTCAGGGCTGGGGCGGTCAGGGGTAGCCACGGATTCGCGGCGCGGGGGCCCAAACCGGAGTTACCCCCAGACCGCAGTTATCAGGGATAATTCGCGCGTCCAACCCTACCGAAACACCAGGGCTGGGGGCAGTCAGGGGTAGCTGCAGATTCGCGCCGGGGGCGCCCAAACCAGAGTTACCCCGGACCGCAGTTACCCCAGATAAGGCGGGCGTCCGAGAAGGCCCGTCCCTCCTCACTCTCCCCCTGGGCTCGCCGCCGATCTCGGCCGTCTCAGAGCGCTCCAGATCACTCTCAGAGCGCTCCAGAGCGCTCTGAGAAGGCCGCGGCGCCGGAGACATCCTCCAGAGCCGCTGGATCTCGAAGATTCCTGATGTATCCTCACTCGAGTGTATCCTTGTCCTGGCTTGAAGTCGGGCGTGTCCCCCTACAGGGGGATTTTCGACGAAAAATAAAAAATACCCCAAATATAGTAAAACAATAGTCCAAACATAGTCTGGGGACTATTTTTTGACTTTTATTTTATTTTAACATATATATATATATATATATTATACACTAAAACCTTCGCGCGCGCTTCGCGCGCGCTTAGGTTCTAGCCAACCCCAGCCTTGGACAAGGTCAAAGCTGCACGTATGTAAGGCCCGCAGATCGTGCGAACATGAGTTCAGGAAGTGGCGAGCACGCAACCAGACCAGCACGCATGTATGTATGCTTGTGTATATGGATGTATATATATATATATATATATATATATATTATATCTATGTCTATATATGTATATGTATATACATACGTGTGTATATGTACATGCACACATACATACATCCATGCATACATGGATGCATGCATGAATACACACGGAAAACAAACACATACATACGTTCATACATGCACACGTTGGAGGAGAGGCGGCAACGTGCTCTGTCAGCGCGTTTCCGGAGCATGTTGTGCGAGAGGCGTCGTACCAGAATACGCCCAGAGTGGCCGGCAGACGGCCCAAGAACCTTTGGAGACCGCTTCTGAGGGGATCTCCTGGGAGCGCCTTGGGGGCCTCTGGGCGGCCTTGTGGGGCCTCCTGGCGGCCTCTTGAGGTAGAAGGCTGGAGCTTTGGGTGCACGGTTGTCCACTGAAGTCTTCATTAGGCACCGAACGCTGGAAGGAGAGGCGGCAACGTGCTCCGGCAGCGCGTTCCCGGAGCATGTTTGGGGGACCTCGGTGGGCAGTTTTGAAGCCTCTCGGAAGCCGTTTTGGGGCCTCTCGAAGCCTCTTTTGGGCCTCTTGGGTGCCTCTTAGTGGCCTTCTGGGCTGTCTTCGGGGCCTCTGGGGGCTTCCTGGGGGCATCTTGGGGCGGAGAGCTCGACTGTTCGGTGCGTGTTCCCTCTCTTGGGCCGCTCTTGGCGCCTTCTTGGGGCTCTCCTGGGCTGTCTTGGGCGGGCCTGGGGACAGTCTTAAGGCTCTCTTGGGCCGTCTTCGGCCTATCTTGGGGGTCTCTTGGGCTGTCTTGGAGCGGTCTGGGGAGCCTCTGGGCCGGTCTAGGAGCGTCGGAAAGCCGAAACAGCGAGGAAGCAAAAAACATAGGAAAAACACATGAAAATCAACTATTTTCGCCTCTCTGGCCGCTCGTCGGCGGCATCTTCACGCCTCTTGGGGCGTCTTGGGGGACGTCCTCGGCAGCTTAAGACGCATCGTGGGCCCCTGGAGACACCTGCAGGCGGTCTTGGGAGCGTCTCGAGAACGTCTGGGGCCGCCGGGACGGCTGTCCGAGGGCTCCTG